AAAAATGCACATACATATTTGTGACATGATGTACTTGTGTGTGTGGAAGTTTGAACTCGATCAATCCAAGCATGTCTCAGATACGGATCCAGAACTGAATTCTTTAAAACAAAATGGCCGCCAGTCGGCCATTTCGAACCCGATTCAAAAAAAAAAAATGACGTGCATCAAGGTCCTATTATGTTTAATGTATGTACCAAATTTGAACAAAATCCGTTCATGCATAACTGAGATCCGGGTCCGGAATGGTGAAAATGTGCGATTTTGATGCATTTTCGGCCTTAAAATGGCCGCTATTCGGCTATCGTTAATCGGATCATGAAAAAAATGCATGTGCATATGTCCCATATAATGTGTGATGTATGAGTGAAGTTTGAACTTAATCAGTCCATGCATGTTCGAGATACAGGTGATCACGGACGCACGGACGCACACAGGGCAAAACATAAGTCCCCGTTTTTGGACTGCGTCCGAACGGGGACTAATTAGCTGTAATTTTGAATATTACAAGTTTACATAGATGGAAATTCATTTTACAATGAAACTGTACTAGCAAGCAAAGAAAGGTGGGCACCTTCTCTAGAGTAGAATGACTTCATATAACTGCACTGACGGTCATTTTTGGAAAGTCACTATAAGCTTGTTGGAAAGTTTTGACAGGATTTCGATGAAACATTTTTCGCAGTAGCTGTGGCTGGAACTTATAATTGTGAATCTAACTTTCACTGATGTGATCGATTGTTTTCAGTCCATATTGTTCATGCCATCATCAAACAACAGCCGAGTTTCACCGTGCTTCAAAACAAAGAATTCTTCTGGGGTCAGCTGCTTAGATTCCAGAGCTTCTTTCACCTTCAGTGGTGGTTCTAAATAAAACTAAAATATAACAACAATTGTGACAATTAATCACATGTAACCAAAGAGATTTATCATCGATTGAGAAAACCAAAATTTCTGTTCAGTGGATTTAAGTACATTTCCTTTTAACTTCTCAATGTTTGGTTTTTATTGTCTTTCTAATTTGTTTTTCATTGGAATATTTTTAGAAGTTCTAGAAGTATTTTAGTTAATATAGCTACAGGCTAAGTAATACAGGCAAAAGACCCCCCAGACCAGTGAAAAAAATTTGTTTTCGAAAAATTACAAAATACTAAACTGAATCAGTGAACATGAATCAAGTGAATCAAGTTGAATACATTCAACTCACTAAAAATCAATGAAAACACCAAAAAAGTCTTTTCAGAGAAATTAATTTCAGCTTCAATAAAGTATTTTACAGTATACATAGTATTGGGCTCATTTCATAAATTAACCAATCTTATTGGCTTGCATATTCTTGTACTGTATTTTCCCAAACTCAAAAGATTGTACTTTCTGCAAACTACAAACTGCATATGACACCATTAGTGATCTTCTGAGATATAACTCCAGTTTTTCAGCAACATTGTGAATGAAAAAAAAAGCATTCTTACCTCGCTGGCCATAGTAAAAGTCCCCCAGTGAATGCCAAGTGACCGTTTAGCCTTCAAGTCTTGATGTATTTGGACTGCTTGCATCGGGTCAATATGTTGAGATTTCATGAACCACCTGGTGTGATAGGACATAAACTACAGTTAGTACTTGTAAAAATAACTTTCATATTCCACAAACATCAGGGCGAGACCATTGCATTCTGTTATTATCACATATGTTTCAAGACTTTATGAAAATCGTCAGATAAGTCATAACCTCTTCATCCAAGATGTTCGTATGAATGCGCACAAGAGCAGTGATCTTGGTTAGTTCAGCATGCCATTTTGTTCATATGCAAATGAAGGCAGATGTGCACACGTGGCAGTGTTTGTCACTGCATTAGTGGTGAAAATGTCAACCACCAAATGAAGCAGAACAATTCAATATATCCCATGTTCATTTATTGTGACACAGACCTTCTTTATACATATTTTTGACATCGATATAGCTGTCTATTTAGAATTGCAGAAATGATTGATTCTGATGCATTTTTATTATTAATATGTCCGTCGATTGGCCATCTTGAATGATGTCATGAAATAAATGAATGTGTAAATGTAATAATGATTACCGGTAGTACCAATACAATGCAGAACCAAACACACTCACTCACATCATGGCTAATCTGTCTCACATCTGTTTTTTTTTTGCTGCCAGATGTGCAATATTTATGGTTAATACAATTAAAGATGGCAGACAGGAGTGAAGATTAAAATAGTTTGCAATGCATTTTTTGAATGTTTGCCATTTTTAGTTTGCTGTTGCTTTATATGCCTGATAAATATATTCCTCGTGTGACTGCTTATTTTATCAAATTAACTAAAAGTGTTGGGATCCGTATTTATGTATTTGATCTATACTCAAAACTCTCATAAATTAAAAATTACATTTATTGTATGCTGTATTATTAAACTTTACATAAGTACATTTGTTACTACTAGAACAATTATGGTATACACGTTTTGTAGCAAATCTGAATGCAAATGAGCGAAGATTTTAAGAACTGTAATTCACCTACCTTGGTTCATAGGATCCTATAGGTAGCGCAGCAAGATCAAACGGCCCAAATCTCCTGCCAATTTGCTCAAAGACAGTGCAATATCCAGTGTCTCCGCCAAAGAAGAATTTATAATTAGGTCCGATGACAGTCCAGCTTCCCCACAGAACTTTATTTTCATCTGCGACGCCACGTCTGCACCAATGCTGGGCTGGGGTGAACACAAATGTTACTTCGGGATGTTCAGGAATGCAGTTCTCTTCCCACCAGTCAAGTTCAATGGTGTTATCACATCCCATGCTATTCATCCATCCCAATAGTCCTATTGGTACAAACCACCGCAGACTATTCCCAAACCGGGCATTCAATAGCCGGACTGTGCCGACATCTAAGTGATCGTAGTGCGTGTGGCTGATAACAACAGCATGGATATGCGGCAACTCGTGAATTGTACACGGTGGATCACGGTAGCGTTTTGAACCCATTAATTGTGTCGGTGAACAGCGTTGACTAAAGATAGGGTCGGTCAATATAGTTATCCCATCAAACTGCACCAGTACTGTAGCGTGCCCAATCCAGGTGATGCGAATACCAGACGGCGGTGGGCGTTCTATTTCTGTCTTATTGGGTCTCAGTATTGGCAATGTTTGATCTAGTTTCTGGGTATGAACAAAAACAAGCATTTTTTGATTAGAAAAGTAAAGTATACACAAGGACCCTCAAGCTCACACACACAAATTACATATAAACTGCATCATATTGTGGCACAGTTATATATGATATGCAAAGAGTGCCTTAATTCAACTTCCAAGATCACTTGATTTGAAGATCACATTTGTAGTTAAATCAGATGATACATGCTAATTAATGTGCACTTGTTTGCAAGACTTGATAATTATGCAGAATTTATAACAAAATAAACCTATCAAGTACTGACTTGTTTTGATGGAACATTACTGTTATCTGGTGTTAATGTCATCCAGCGCATTATATCAAGCTTTGATGGAAACTTGAAAGTCTTCCATGGATTCACATATCGACCATTCTTCTGCACAGACTTCTGTACATCTTCCAATTGCCTGTAATCTAAACTCCTGGACAATCGCTTGGTAGTTTCTCGTAAAAGGGGAGATTCCCCCTCGTGCCCATCCTGATCATTGTTGTTTTTTTGCGAAGTAGACAATTTTGGTGACCGCAGTTCATCTGGTATGGATTCATATATCGGTATATGTGATGTAGTGGACTGAGACGAAGCCTCGGCACCTGTCGGTTCATCACTATTATCTCCACTCATGGTTCTGTAATGCAATATTATATATTTTACATAAACAGTGAGTACTTGTACATGTAGTACAATTTTTTTTCAAAGTATTTCATATAGTTACATCAAGTCTCAGAAGTATTGGGGCAGCCAATTTGCAAACTCGCTAGCGAATTGTCTAACTGCTTTGGTTTAAACAGTTGGCTTTTGAATCTCGCTGGCGCCAACTTGTGATCGCGTCCACTATGGGCGAGTCTATATTGCATTAGGGGACATAGAATGTTTTTACGTAGCCTCGTAGATTGGCTAACTGCTTTGGTTTTGACTAAACTGTTTTGACTAGGCTTTTGAATATCGCTTGCGCTGTCTGTTGGTCAGACCCACTTTGGGAGAATCTATATAACAGTAGGGGACGATCTTACAGTTGGATAGCAATTTCGCATTCAAATATACCAGGGAAAGTGTTCTATGTTCTTCGTGTAATGAGGTGTTTGGATACAAGGAATTGCCCACACAAAAAATGACGAATGAGGTCGATTTTTTTAGCCGCTGGGTTAGTGTTACCCTGATTTTCTCCCTAATTTGTAGGAAACTGTTTTTTAACTTGTCTCTTTATTTAGTTCTATAAAGCAGTGTTCATGATGGCTATCCCATATAGTAAATATGGGTAGATCAGCCTTAATCGCATTCACACATTACCGCTTGTACAGCTGACTGTGGCCATTCTCAGGCTGACCAGGAATACTACTTTTTACATTATCACGCCTCGCGTAATAAAATCAGGGGAATCCCGAAATCTATGAGGCTACGTAAAAACATTCTATGTCCCCTAATGCAATATAGACTCGCCCATAGTGGACGCGATCACAAGTTGGCGCCAGCGAGATTCAAAAGCCAACTGTTTAAACCAAAGCAGTTAGACAATTCGCTAGCGAGTTTGCAAATTGGCTGCCCCAATACTTGCTGTAAATTTAAAGCATCCCCTAACTGAGAAAAATCCCTGTAAAATATCATCATAAATTCATGGACAAACATATTACAGTACTGTCACCATCATATTATTTCGAACACAAAACAGCAACATTGCCAGGTGAGTTGCTGACTTGTTTGTTATGTGTGTCTCGAAATCATTAAATGAATAGAACTGGTCAGGTCAAACCACTTTTACAAAGGTATGCCATTCGGCCATATGTGCTCATTTATTATTTATTATTGTTATGATATGCACCACACACACCATCGACCGTGTCCTGACATTTTATACTGTGTCGCATACTACTTGTTTACCACTTCCGTGTGACTGAGAATGTTCTAGAACCGTACTGTGTCTGGGTGGAATTTTTAGAAGTTGGTTGAATAGGTAATAGGACACTGTAGAAGGCAATAGAAGGTAATGGAACATTCTAGAAATTTGTAGTAAGTTCCAGACTCATTATGTATGCTGATGTAATGGTCTATTTATAGACATTGTGGGTATATATAGGGGAGTTGTTCAGCACTGAGATCAGATCGGAGATCTCGTTGAATTGTATTGGAGTTTAAGTATCTAGTTATTGGAGTAGTGGAGTTTTACCGCGTTATTGTACTTGATGTTTGCAGAGTATAATAATACCAGTACCAGTTGAAACCTCATCTGTTGGCCCCGTGTTTGTATTTTATCATCGCCGCCAGGGAAGTCTTTCTGTTACTGTTGCCATTTTGGTATTTGAACCATCACACCTGTACTATACCAATTACGGTAATATTACGTTGCGTGTGACATACTGAGTCAGTACATATATTTTGTACACAAATTGAATGAAATTATTTGAAAGGCAATCACATTGTATCTTTGATTTATATTTAACATGTTGATTCCCCCAACTATTATCAACTTTTTGTTTAGCATTTTAAGGTAAGAAATCAACATTTGAAACCGACATGGTGGCGATTTCACTAGGTGTCATGTTTCATAACTTATAGAATGACTTTAAAAAAAAAAATAGTTTTATTGATTTTTAGCCCCCAAGTGACTGTGTACAAGCCGGACCACTAATGCATTTGCAGTGTAAGCCGACAGATAAAGCTTAGAACCTTCTATGAACCCTAACGCCGCGGTACCATGACTAAATAAGTTATAATCTAAAGAAGAAATTATGTAAAGAAGCCTTACAATAGAAACGTCACTGGTGAAAATAAAAAAATGCCAGAATCAATGCCGATTTACAACTTCTAGTCACGTATTATGAGGTCGGATTTTGAAAATGAAAACTGATTTTGAAAACGAAAATGGATTTTAAAAACGAAAATAGCTTATGAAAATGGACTTTAAAAACGAAAATGGATTTTGAAAATGAAAATGGTTTTTAAAAACAAAAATGGGTTTTTAAAACGAAAATGGATTTAAACAATTGTTTTTTAAAATAAAAACACATCTTAAAAACGAAAGTGGGTTTTAAAAATCGACTTCAGAACCGAAAATGGTTATTAAAAAAATCATACCTGTAACTATGACAACATAGTGTAGCAAGAGTTTTTCGACCGATGATTCTAGCAAAATACAAGCACTGTGAGCGGCAGATGTGAGATAAAATTGACATAACACGTGTAGCAAAATTAGGATGTTCAAGACAAGCAATGCGGTAACGAAACAGGAAGTAATTGCATCACTGCCATGCAAACTTGAAAGAACTCAAGTTTTCAGAAGATAAACTAGTCCACTGTTTACTTTACAATGACTTCTCAAGTGAATAACGTTCACAATATTGAGATACCACCTGCACACCCGTCAATATGAGAAAAACAGCACAAATTATTTGAGATCAAAGTTTTAACAACACGTACCTAAATGACGTTCAACAACATGACCTCATTTGACCCTATTTGTACTCAAAACGAGGCAAAGATAGACATGTATTTTTTTTAGTTTCTCAATCTAATTATTCATGCACTGCTTGATCTGCAAACATTGTGGTTTATTTTTTTATCTGACAAATCGGTGATAAATTTTATATAAGTATCTTTAAATTGTAGTTACTGAAAACCAATTGTCTTTTTGGCATAAATGGAAACATTATAATGAGATACACAACGAAACAAATGTAAAGCTTTGAGTGTCCACGTTTAGGGGCATGCGCAGTTGATAACCGGCTTCAAAATGGCGACCAGGCTGGTAAGAGCGGCTACTTTGCTGTGCAAAAACTCGCCACGACAACCTCTTGTGAGTAAAAACTTCTATATTTTAAGTCTGAACATTTTCGAAATTGCATTTATACTTACTGGAGGAACTGTGAAAATGAAGTATGCCATGATGATGTCATATACCTCTGTTAACTACCCGGCACATTTTACTCGACCTCGGTCACGTCTGCACGAACGCCACTCGTAAAATGTGTGTTGCTTTTCAACAATGCGAATCCAATGACACTGACCGACTTGCTTGGACCTAGGTAGATTTTGACCAATTTCACTTATAATAGTAATAATAACTCTTTGTAAAGAAGAATTGCACTGGATAAATAGCAAAACGTTGTATATTTTTTTAATCTTCGAAGTTCAAATTTCAATAAATTCAACAAAAAATTTATCATTTGTAACTTTTTGATATCGAGGATTTATAAGATTGGGGTATGCAAGGGTGTGATATGCGCTGAAAGTCTCACTTGAAATGAAGCAGTCATAAAATCACAAGAGAAACAAAAAATTATTAAAATCCAATTCAATGAGTCTGGAAAAGTATTGATTTGAGTTAACCTCAGACTGTTTTGTGTGCATTTTCCATTTTTTGAATGTGCCATAATCTCTCTTATTTCTGTTTTTGCAATCGAATATTTCCAAGCAGCCAGTGTATTTTGTGACCTTATTAATTAGAACTACAATTGACTTATGTGCAAGGAAATGCATCACTTTCGACAGTAGGTTCCTTGTATTAAGTTGTAAGATCGTCATTGTACTGACATATTGTTTTGGTACATAGTTATCACACTTGCTTACCATTATCTTATAAATCCTTGTTGGTATATAATGTGGAATTAATATATGCCCCCTCCCCTCTTGAGTTTTAAAAATCACTGAAATAAACACAACAACAATTCCCAAGACTATTGGGTTACCAAAATGTGGATTATGCACAAGTTGAAAGATGTTCATAGAATAAATTTATGAAACCTATTATTTTGTCTTGAGTAATGATTACATTAATCCCAACAGTACCGGTATTCTTAGTGCAATTAAATGAATAGTGTAATACATCACATTTTCAGATTCTAAAATCATGTGGTGTTTTAGACCTAGTTCATTCTGTAGTTGGTGAGCAGAAATTTGTAATTAGTAACTGCATTTCTGTATTTGGGGTTTTTAATCTGGAAAAGGTAGTTTTCTGATTTGAAAGACTTTTTATTTGCATAATATACATTAAATTTACCATTGGATTCAATTAATCAGATTAATAAAAAACATTACAAACAAAACAAATAAAGGGACTGTTATGGAAAATTCCTTCTTGTTATTAGGCGCAGACATCTTCAATCGGTACACAGAAATGGCACAAGAGACAAGTTGCAACGTATCCAGAAACACTTCTAAATGTTCCAGAGACAAAAATTACTACATTAGATAATGGATTACGAGTGGCATCAGAAGACTCGGGAATCCCTACATGTACAGTAAGTGTATTCTTCAATGTCTTAGGTACATCATGCCAAGAATTTAGAAATTAAAATGTATTCAGGATATCTCCAACCTTGTCTTTTCTTTGATTTGTTGTATAGATACTCCAGAACACAAATAATGATAATGTTCATTAATTGATTGAATAGAACCCAATGAATCATATCATGTTTTAATAAAAAAAAGTGTTTGCACATTTGTTAGCCTGTTTGTTTCATCAGATAACAAAAAAAAAATTGCAGGTATTTACTGAATGCAAGGTTTGACATCATTATTTGTTATCCCAGGTTGGTTTATGGATTGATGCTGGTAGCCGATATGAGAATGCGGGTAATAATGGTGTGGCACATTTCTTAGAACATATGATTTTTAAGGTAAGGCAAAAACAATGCTATTGTTGTCAGTCCTTGATGTATAATAATGTAATATTCATTTATACCTTGTATAATATATTTTCTGATGAATTTACTTTATCCGTAACTCTGTGTTTGCAGGGTACAAAACACCGATCACAGATGGAACTTGAATTAGAAATTGAAAATATGGGTGCTCATCTTAACGCCTATACCTCACGTGAGCAGACCGTCTATTACGCAAAATCCTTTTCCAAAGATTTACCTAAAGGTTAGTGACCTGTTTATTTCACAAGTTCATTTTTATAGAATCAATCATCTGTTTTCTCTGGTTTGCCAGTGATGATAAAATCAAACAGAAATATATTCTTCTATTGTTCATTGTTATATTTTTCTTCAAGGAAGTTTTAGGTGTTTGGAATAACAGTACCTATTTGCTGGTGATATGCGTTTGAATGGACAAAAATCTGATATAAGTACTTATTCTATATTTCTATTATCGTTTCTCTACAGCTGTTGAAATCTTGGCCGATATTGTTCAAAACAGCACTCTAGGAGAAACAGAAATTAACAGAGAAAGGGGTGTGATTCTCCGGGAAATGGAGGTGAGAATTTGTTATGATTGAACTTGAGTTTTGTGTTCATGCAAGTTAACCCTAAATCAGAGAAATGAATGAAAAAAATATTTACCTACCGCAAAAACTCAAAATTTCGACCAGTTTTAAATAATTAGTTTTCTTGAAAGACGAATTTTTAGAGTCACAAAACACCCAAAAATTTCAAAGTGGACGAAATTTTGGAGGAAATATTAGTCGTTTTGGAATAACATGGGAAGCTTTTTGGGTTTCTTAAAAAGTGGAATAAACACTGATAGTACGGACAAATTTGTTTGCAATAACGCGCGGTACGTGCTCAGCTAGTGGTCACAACCTACATGACCTAATTTACACAAGAGTGAAATAAAAACAAGCGCGTTCGATAATGTGGACAAATTTGTTTCAAATGACGCGCTGTAAGTGTTCAGCTAGGGGTCACGACCTACATGACCTAATTTACACTAGAGTGAAAAAAAACAAGCACGTAACGACGTATAAATAAAATTTACTAAAATAGACCTTAGAAAAGATTACATTTTGGGCGATCAATGAAATTTGTAAATGTCCTTTTTTACAGTAGTCTTACAGTTATTGATAGAGTGCCACTGTCATTACAGTATCTGCAGTTATTGTGCTAATAAATAAATAAATAAACTTTTATTGTTGGTTTGAATTCATCATGATGTAAATCATTGAAAAAAAAAAATGCAACTTTATTTTATTCAAAACAATAAACTTTGATTGTAACGGTATCTTTTTTTGGAGGATGTGGTGGCCCTGAAAAGGGCCGCTTGATTTGTGCAGCAAAATATATTGCGGGAAGTCATTACTGGATGTCGGTGAACCCCTTGAACCACAGTCCCTCCACAAACAGCCTGTTCGTTGTGTGTGAGGCTATTCTCACTGCCATTTAGGCATTTGATATGCGGATTAGCGGGTGGATGTGTACCACTCCATTCCAAATGTGAGACTGGTATAATATCGGACGCTGTCTTTTGGAAAATCACTGCGGTGAAATTGTGATTTTGGCGGTGTCTACATGGGGGAAAAATAAACTGCGAATAGGCCCATGTCACTTCAAAATACGCAGACCGGGAAGTCAAATAATTGTTAAAGTTGGAAGCTTGCGAGCTTAGTTTCTGATTTATTTACTTACTCAATTTTTTTGTTTAAAATGCATGGGAGCTTGGCCGATGTAAAACGTACTCCAGGAAACAGAGACCCCGCTCATTACAGCTCCCTGCGGAGATATTCTGCTTACATTCGAGAAATGTCTGTACTCTTCTAGTAATAATCATACTGTACTCTTCGGTCGCCCACGTCTGTAAATTTTGACTTGTTTTATTTTATTGTCGGCCTACTTGTCACACAGACGCGTTTATTGTAAACACCTCACTTGGGCCCCACAGTGACACAAGTCAAGCGTCTAAGCAATCACAGAACCAGATTCACGCAATGGGGGCTGTCCTTTGCTTTAAAGGCAAATTGTTTTTTTCAACGACTGGCAAAAGCGTTGCGTCCGGTTTTATTCTGGATCGACCTTTTTAAGAGCAAATACAGACTGTAATGGTTATTCGAATCGACGTTTTTTCAAAAGCAAATACAAACTGATGTTTTTTTATTAAATTATAAATTTCATAGAGATAACAATAAATACATGTGACTTAAATGTTATTTTAGTTCATGCAAATTACGTGGAAGCAAACCTGACCTCGCTCACACTCGACGAGTACAGGAGTACAGAAACCCGTAATCTGACAGGGTTGGTGCGAATTACCAAGAGCTCCGGCATATGAAAGTTTGGTCGAATTTTCAGAGTCGCAAAAAAAAGGCATTTCCGGGCAGGGTTGAAATTTTCGAGGTCGCAAAATTACGGAAACTTGCCAAAAACGTAGGTGCCGAAATTTTAGAGTTTTTACGGTACTTCCTATTGTACTGGTAATCAGTTAGCTTATTACAATAAAAATTATTCTGACAGTTGCTTCAATATGAAAATTGTGATTCTAATTATTTTCTTGTCTATGAAAGATGATGTGACATTGTTTATTTCTTACAGGAAGTTGAAACCAACTTACAAGAGGTGATTTTTGACCATTTGCATACAACGGCCTACCAAGGCACTGCATTGGGTAGAACTATTCTAGGGCCAACAGAAAACATCAAGTAAGCACAATCATTTGCCTTTGTACAATAAAATATTAATGAAAACCACAGGAAGTCATTATGTTCGAAGTTTGCCCTCAAAATTCAATGGGAATGACCTAATAGTTATACAGGTAACAACTCAAGATTCTGGTGTGCATCTCAGACTAATCTTTCATTCAATAATAATTTTATTATATCGACCATCTTTGATTGTTGAAGAGTGAATCCCGCTTGCAATTTGGCTGCTTGATGACAAACTAAGTTAATAAAAAAGCTCAATCACACCAGAAGCTATGGAACTGTTTGATGGTGTTCGGCTTCTGGAAAATCAAATATCTTGCTAACACTATAGCTAATGTTTTACAATACACAATATTGATGACAATACAACTTTATGTAACAAAACACCAGACATGGCATTAAACTGTTCGCAGTTTGGAAGTAAATTTCAGCAAAAACAGAAAATGTTACTAATTTAAAATATACTCGTCTTCACATGTAATTTTTAAATGATGAAACTAAATGCCTGTGACAATAAATGATTTTTCGGTATCGCAGGTTAGGATTTATCACTATTATATTTTTAGGTTGGTGATTTGAATCCTTTTTTTATCGGTAATTTCAGGTCACTTGTACGAGATGATCTTTTGACCTATATCTCTACACACTATAAAGGACCCAGAATAGTGTTATCTGGCGCTGGAGGAATTGATCATAATGAACTTGTTGCATTAGCCAATAAACATCTTGGTAAGATTGGATCAGAATATGAGAATGAGATCCCAGTCCTGCCACCATGTAGATTCACAGGCAGCGAGGTGAGTATACTTTGGGAGTTATGTTTGTTTCATTCATACAATAATTTGATTTATCTTCTTGAATGTGTCCTGATAAATAGAATGAATAGATGGATGTCTTATTTTTTGTTTCAGATTCGTGTTCGTGATGATAGCATGCCATTAGCTCATATAGCTATTGCTGTTGAGAGTGTTGGATGGTCTCATCCTGATACAATCCCACTGATGATTGCAAACACAGTAAGTAACCATTCTCTTTGTACATGCATGTAACTTTGAATTGTTTACTACTGTGAAAGTTTTTTATGAAGTACTGTATGTCATGCAATTTACACCTGTAAACAAATAAATATTCTGATGACTAGGGTCATGTATTTAGGTTGCATTATATCCAAACTTGGTACATAAATCTCTCAAAGTTAATTTGTTGTCAAAATAAATATGGTTGACTCAAATGCACAAAAAGAATTGATACACACAATTCTGTTATTGCTTACAGTACATATTTCATACTGTAGAATCAAGACATACTTGGAGCAGCTTTGATAAAGCTTTCCACTTAAACATTATGGATATACGCATTAAGTTGTCCAAGCTAGACATTTACCTGAAACCTGAAACATGCACTTTGATAGCTAACGCCTTTCTTTTGTTTCATGTTTAGTTGATTGGTACCTGGGATCGCTCTCATGGAGGTGGTACGGTAAGTCATAGACTTCTTTTTCATTCAAAACTTAGCTGATAATAAATACTTTCCTGTACTTATGATGCACTCATGATGTCACTCTTTAATTTGGTATTTTCTCTTGATTTCAGAATGTTGCCAGTAAACTTGCATCAGTTTGTGGAGGTTCTAATCTCTGTCATTCCTTCCAATCATTCAATACATGTTACACAGACACTGGTTTGTGGTAAGTCTTGTAATTTGTATCATAGAAAATAACCAACCCTGATTTGTTTCTGACTGAATCGCAGCAGCTGAGGAATTCCAGTCAAAAACATCGTACACAAAACAGGCTCCTGTTTTTGCTTTATTAGAATCACATCTCTAGTAGAAGCACATTTAAAACAATAATCACAATTGCTGTATGCTGAATCATTAAAATATTACTTACTTTGACAATAGAAACACCTCTGTGATGTATGTATGTAAGTGCATACACTACTTATAGAGCAAATATGGTACTTATTTGACATTTAGTCCTTATTCTGAACACTCCAATTGACATTTTGCATTTGCTTTGATAGGAGCACATTTCCAATAGAAGGTCACATAAAATCAAATTTATAGTATGCTAGATCATCAAAATATGATTTATTCTGATCATAGTAGACACAAATTTGTCAAGTACAGTATATTGTTATATGTAGAATATATTCATAATTGGTAATAATTGACATTGTATTTTTTACAGGGGAATGTACTTTGTTACTGATAATATGAATATTGATGATATGCTGTTCTATGTACAAAATGAATGGATGAGACTCTGTACCAGTGTCACAGAGTCTGAAGTAACCAGAGCCAAGAATCTACTCAAAACTAACATGCTCCTGCAACTAGATGGTGAGATGAGTCTTTCTTTATTTCTAAGACCATAGCAGGGCACTAAAGAACTCTGGTTGTGTTTCCAAGGCAATTGCTGTCCTTGAGTTCAAGGTCTACTCATACTACTTTATACAAGATATTTGAAATTACCTGCACTGAACCTTTCATTGCAGTTTGGTATTGATAGAAGTTTAAATTATATTCACTAGGGTGAGGTGAACTGATAATGATGGATTGAAAGACGACTCCAATCATCATTCCCTGTAACTGTGTATTAATCCCTTTGCCTAATAATTGTTTATTTAATTCTCTATGTCCGTCAAAGTTTTGATTGGGGAAGTTTGTTAATTTAATTTGACAAAGGGCTTATTGCTATTATTAGGGTCCACACCAATCTGTGAGGATATTGGTAGACAGATGCTATGCTATGGTCGTCGTATGTCTCTCCCCGAATTAGATGCCCGCATTGAAGCAGTGACAGCTAAGACTGTGAGAGATGCATGTACTAGATACATATATGATAAATGTCCAGCTGTGGCTGGAGTAGGTAAGTATTGCTCTGTACTGCTAGGCCATAATCTATGCTCTGTGATAGGTTTGATTATAATGTACAGTAGTGAATCTGAGAATTTTTTTTCCTGCATTAAAATTGATCTTGAATTTTACTTTGGCGCAGGGTCTAGCTGTGTGAAAGTGACCGAATTCTTGCTTATTTCCATGTTTCACAATAAAAAATATTCTTGTACAATGTTAATCCTGTTCAACTATCAGTTATTTAGTAATTAATAGACTACAGGTTAACTAATTCATGTTGGCTTAAATTTGTTTTCACAAAAAATTAATTGGAAGTAATTTTGCATGAAAGAATAAATGAGTGAACTAAACTATTCTACATAATTGTGGAACGCAATTATATCAAATTGTCTGCTCAGAAAGAATGGTAGTCAAACATAACAGACCTGGATACTATGTGCATTTTTGACAGTATTTCCCATAAAATAAAACGAGTAACCAGCCTTTATTTCAAGCTTTCTAAAGTTGTTAACATCATGAGAATGTATTTAGAAAAACTATAATTTTTGTTTACCTGAAAACTAGTCTTGATATCCTTTCTATTTTTCCCTGGAAGGAAAATTTTCCAATAAGTAATCTTGTGTTTTTGTTTAGTACCACCATCTTATCCTGTAATGGCTGAAAACTAATTTCATTCCATCTGTCTTTTCTCCACCACAGGTCCTATTGAACAGTTGCCTGAATACAACAGAATTCGTGGTGGCATGTACTGGGTTCGACATTAATGATTGAATGGACGTTTAAGTATTGTTAGTTTCATTTCAGAGTGCCTGTGATTTATGTATATTCCAAAGTATTTCTCTCCTGTCATTGTAACAAAATTCACCACAAAACTGGACGACAAATGATTAAACAAACTTGTATCTATTGGATTTGTGGTCTTGTCAACTGCTACAGAAGAAAACCATGTCAAATATCCAAATTTCAATTTTGTAAAATGTTGCTCACTTTTGTGCGTCGCCAAAATAAACTGTTAACATATTACAATGTGTTTCATGTGTCATTTTTGTTTTGTTTTGTCATTTATAAAAATCATGCGAAATTTACTCGTTTTATCCATAATACTCTTAAGCATAAACCACTTTAATTTCAAGACATATTTTGCGTTAAGGACAACCATAACATTTTGAAGGACAGAGATTTGCAAATACAGTAAAGTCAGAAATAGAAATAGCAATTTCATTTAAATTCCTGCCAATCAAAGATATTTATAATTATATTCCCAAAGCGATATACTGTACATTACTATCAGTTTTCAGAATTTAATATTTTGAAGGAATTTGTGATAACAAATGTTTGATCTGTTAGAAGGGCTTTCACTTGGGTAAATATACATTGTATTAACAAAGTTAAATGTATTAATTTAAGTTGTATTATTGAATATATTTTGTTGGTAATGTATGAAATAGTCTGTGCCATACACCAAAGCCTTCCTTCTACTAAATTATATGACTATTCTTGACATTTGTTGCCAACTCATGGTTTTAAAATATTTAAATGCCAAAAATAAACTACCACTGGCTTTCCGTTTACTAAGATTCTTGAACTTGGTGTTCTCCTGAGAACTTCATCATCCCCAAATTATTCATAAAGCTAGCTAGTTGGTTTTTCACCTTACTCTTTTGACAGAATTTGTGAAGTAATTGTTTCCATGAAAACAAGCTCTGGTACTCTATCTTAAGGAAGTTTGAGTTGAATATGTCATGTTTGTTCCACTGGCATTGTGGGATCATACCGTCGGGGAAAAGCAATTGGGTCACCGAATGACTATTTTGATATTGCCATTTTTACAAGGTGGCAACTTTTATTTATCTCGCAAAATTATTGATATGAATCCTAACATTGCAAGTTATTTCAAAAAATTTACCAAATCAAGTTTCCAGGGTGATAATATGAGGTTATTACGATTACGAAGATACCTCAAAGTAAGCACGAAGACAGTACAGCGGCAGTATCGACCGACGCGCAGTGGAGGTCGATTCAACAGCGTACTGTCTGAGTGCATACTTTGAGGTATCTTCGTAAAAACCTTATTATTATACATTCTTTTCCTACCATGGATACATCATGGGAATGCCGAAATCTAAAAAGTTTAGAACAGAATCAGCCAACTTCTTTGTATGGAGTCTGGTTAAATTTTGGTGGCAGCCATGTTTGTTTTTATTATTAGAGGACGCTTGCGCGCCTAATAATTCCATATTTGGAATTCGCATTTCCTAATATGGTAGGATGAAAATACCCCGTAAAATACTGCAAAATTACGGCACGCTGTAACCTATGGCGTTACGGTGACAGATGTATAATAATAGTTTTTATTGTATGCAATTAAAAGTTCTTTCTATAATGCGTTGCATATATACAAGCACATGTGTGAACAGTGAACACGGCCAATTTCGTGCTCTTGAGATTTTCACGGGAAAACTACCTCAAATTCGTTATACTATATCATTATCCACTAAAGAATGAAGTGCGACGACTGTAATATAAAACGGGGAGTGCATTTGTGCCAAGGAGATTTGCAATTGTGTGAAAAATGCAAAAAGAAGCGTTTCCA